GTTGTTTGTTTAAAAATTTATGTGAATGTAAGGGGTCTTATAATTGTATGCATTTACAATAATTTATGTGAATTTAAAGGTTTGTGATATGAATGGTTTGATAAGTTTTATTTTGTTGCATTGTATGTGTATGTGTGCTCTTTAATAAAGATTAGAGATATTTATGAGAATGTGAAGAGTTGTATACTTAATTGGATGTTCATAGATATATTATGTAATTATTTAATAATTTGGTACATTATTACCAGCAAGAAACGGAGAAGAAACAGAGGTATAGTTATTTGATATTGTAATTTTATATGTTATTGTGTTAAGTGAAGCTTTAAAATGGTGTCCTTTGCTACTACTGTACGCTGCCGTTTTGGAGTTCACTAAGTGTGTAATCTCAACCATTGGTTCCAGCATGATCTGAGGCCTTCAGCAGTCCCAACAAGTCAAACTATATAACACTACAAGTTTGGAGATTTGCACATACACACCATTCCCCTTGCGATATCAACACTCTGCTAGGGTTCTTCATTTTTAGGTTCTTTCTCAAGTCTTGTAATCGTGTGCACAATTGGTGTAAATTGTGGGTAGAAGAATGGGCTTTTCTTCGTGTGAGAGACTGGGTACAAGTGCTCTAGGGATTGCAATTACAGGGTTGATTTGAGGGTTTATTGATGAGAATGCAAAATGTCATATTTACCCCCTTAATGTTTGTATTTTATACTTATTTGTTGCTTAAATTTATTCATTATATTCTATTTTGATTTAGGATGCAAATGGAGGCGTTAAATGCAAAACGAAACTAATAGGTGATTCAGACAGTTGACATTGTTCGTAATCTGGGCATACTCTCTCATGACTCCGATTGAAGTGATTCAAAATTGTATGGAACCCTAGAAGAGATATAAATTTTATGTTTTGAGTTTGGAGAGTACTCGCTGAATCAAGGTTGTAATCGGCTTGAATTGACACACTGCCCTGCTACGTTCTGAACATTCTGCCTTCATGCAAGTCAATTAGGCAGTTTATTATTGGAAGTTTTGAAGACTGTTGCACGCAAGTTACACTGGAAACACCCTTTCCTATGTTACATTAGGACTTTATTTTATTTTCAATTAATCAGATTAGGATAAATGTTATTTTAGGATATTAGAATATTTTTAGGAGATTGAGTAGAATTCAAAGACTTGAATTGGATATTCTTAAAAGGGGGGGAGGAGATCAGATTAGAGGAGATTACACACGCCTCTCTTTCTCTCTTTTGGAATTTTTCTCTTTGGAGTTTTGATTATGGCCATGAGCGGCCAAAACTTTTATAACTTGGTCGAAGGAAACGAGGCTCAGAATCAATAAAATGTGGATATACTATGTTTTTAGTGTTCAATATGCTTGAGTATTGGATGTTCTTTGCCTATTTCATGATTGTTTCTTAATTACTAGGAAGCCTACCAGTTTATTATTGTTGCAATCTATTCTATTAGATATCAATCATAATTGTTTGATCCTCTAATTTGTGAGCAAATAAGAGTTAAGAATTTGCTGTCAGGAATTGTTAAATCTTAAGGAGAACATTCGACTGAATTAAATACAACCGCTGTGGTTTGTGTTGTTCATCTTCATCGATCTCTCTAGTTCTTAAGGTGCCACTAGATTAAACCTTTAAGCTTGTCTTGGGTGTTTAGCAGTAGATTAATAGATCGCTTGTTTCCTATAACTACAACTAGGAGAGTAGGGAAATAGTTCATGGGATATTCAAGTATGAATTGATTTATTTTTGCATCAATGATCAGTTGTAAAATTCGAGGTGGGTTGACTTAGACCAATGTTTGTTTTTGATGATAATATAATTTGAATTGTTTTTTTTTTTTCCTGAAATTGTTTCTGTTTTATCAACCAACCCAACCCAACCCCCCCCCCCCCACCACCCCCACCCCCCCCCCCCCGGGAGCCTTGTTCACATAACATAAAACTCGGCTAGACACTCTTTGTGGGAAGGATCCTTACTCACACTACTACATGTGTTTTTAGGTTTTAATCTTGGTTGCCTACGACTACACACCATTAATTGTGAATGAGAGATTCGGCCATTTGTGGGAATTGGTTTGTAAATCGTACGTTCTTGATCTTTATAGTGCAGCGAGCCCCAAATTACTTAGAGCTCAATGTGGATGTAGCTTATTCCATTGGAATAAGTGAACCACGGTAAAAACCTTGGTGTTCTTGATTCGTTTTCTATTCAATTTGTTTTTTGTGTGTGTTGGTGTGTTTATTGGTAGAATTGATTAGGATTGGATTCAATTTAGCATAACAGTGGTATTAGAGCTTGGATTAGGGTTTTTCTAGGGTCTTCTTGGCTATTCTTGAAACCTAGGGTTTATACAAATTGGGGGTTTCTTGTTAATCGGTCAAATTAGTATCTTAGGGCTTGAAAAACCCTAGATTGTCCTGTCAATTTCTTGAATTAGGTTAGAATTCGATCCCAAATCTTTTAGGGTTTCTTGCGTCAACCCTAAATCCAAACACTAAGCCCACACCATAACTACTACATGAGTTGAAATCACCCAATTCGATGGGAAAATTGATTTCAACAGTTGGAAGAAGAAGATGATGAAGGCCTTATTGTCACATAATAAGGTGGCTCTCCCTCGAGAAGGACGCAACCAAATAGTCTAAGGAGAAACTGAAAAAGAAAGCAGAGGTGGACGAGGAGGCATACAACTTGATCATAATGAATCTCTCCAACAACGTCTTGAGAAAGGTAGACGGTTTTGAAACTCTGATTGCTCTTTGGAGTAAACTCGAATCCCTTTATGCTTTACAGTCAGCTCCTAACTTAACTTACTTAAAAGGTGTTCTATTTTTCTATAAAATTGATAGTTCTAGGACTATTGATGAAAGTCTTGATGAGTTCTTGAAAATGACCCAAGTATTGAAGGGTACAGATCAAGAACTCGGGGACTCTAGTTTAGCCATGATCTTGCTAAACTCTTTGACCGAAGAGTACTAGGTTGTAAAGAATGCCCTTCAATACGCCGGTACTATTCCAAGCTTAGATCTAATAGTCTCAAGATTAAAAGCTAGGGAATTAGAACTTAAGGTACAAAAAAGAATCGGTAAAACTTGTTTGTTAGGGGAAAGGAGAATCAAGTCAGCTGGGTAGTGCTGCCCAGTCTAACAGTGGCCCTAGGAATAGGAAAAGAGGAAATACCATTTGTAAGACCAAGGGAGAAACTAGGAAGTGTTTCTTATGTAATAAAACTGGCCATTTAAAAAAAAAAAAATTGCTTTGCCTGGCTTAAGAAACAGAAACAGAGGAACACTGAAAGCAACCTAGCAACCTTTAAGTCTAACATTGAAGAATCTGAAGTCCTAATTGTATCTAAGTATGATAATATGGATGATTGCGTAATGGATTCAGGGTGTTCATTTCACATGATCCCTAATAAAGAATGGTTTCAAGACTTTGAGGATAATAGGTCAGAAACTGTGTATATGGGTAACGACAATGCATGTAAAGTCCAGGGAATAGGCATCATAACCCTAAGATTAGACACTAGTAAAACTGTTAAGTTGACTAAGGCAAGGTACATTCCAGAATTAAAAAGAAACTAATTTCTTTAGGAACTTTAGCTGAAAATGGGTGCCTTAATGTTTATAAAAATAACAGTGTACTTCTTAAGGGTGTAAAAACAAATGGGCTTTATATCTTATGTGGAAATTACTACTCTAATTGTTTAAATTCAGCATTGTTTTTTACTAACCTGACTGCTACAAAGAAATGGCACCTAAGGCTAGGTCATATGAGCTAGAAGGGCCTTGACACTGTGCAAAACAGGGCCTATTTGGTAAGGATCCTATTGAACCTCTTAATTTCTGTGAGACATGTATAATAGGCAAGCAACACAGATTGAGTTTCCAAAGGAGAACTCACCTGGTTGCCAACTGTTTGGAATATTTGCATGCTGACTTGTGGGGGCCTGAGAGGGTTAAAACACATAGGGGCAATAATTATTTCCTATCTATAGTAATGACTACAGTAGGAAAGTGTGGGTATTTCTACTTAGAACTAAGGATGAAGCATTGAGTAAGTTTAAGAGTTGGAAGATATTAGTTGAAAACCAAACTGACAAAAAGGTCAAAACCCTTAGGATTGACAATGGACTAGAGTTCTACAACCTAGAATTTGATACTTATTGCATTGAATAGGGTATCCTAAGATATAGAAGTGTTAGGAAAACCCCTCAGTAGAATTGGGTTGCTAAGAGAATGAATAGGAGCCTTCTAGAGAAGGTTAGATGCCTGCTTCTTACATCCAGCCTACCAAAATCTTTTTGGGGGAAAGCCTAAACACTGTTGCCTACCTTATTAACAGAAGCTCCTCGAGTGCTATCAACTTCATGTGCCCTGAGGAAAAATTGACTAATAGGAAACCTAACTTAGGCCACTTAAGGACATTTGGATGTGCTGCATATGTACACATCAGTGAAGGGAAGTTATAACCAAGGTCTTTTAGGTCTGTTTTCTTAGGCTACCAAGAGGGAACCAAATAGTATAGACTTTGAGAAAAGTGCTCTTAGGGTTAGGATAATAATCACCATTAATGCTACATCAACTAACCCTCTCACTAAAACTCCTATGCCTATTGGCGTGGCAGCTGATGAGGTAGGTGTCACATCGTCAACCAAATCACCACTTTACCACGTCAGTTCCCTCAAAAATAAAAAATAAAAAATAAAAAATTCAAACTCCCTCCTTCCCCTAAATAAAAATCTCTCCTAAAAATTAAACCCTAAAATTCAAATTTCACTCCTTCCCCTGGACTAAATCTCTCTCCCAAAATGAAATTCAACCCAAATTCCATTTCAAAATAACAAACCCAAACGACGACCACCAATATGTTCTCTTCCACCCCCACCGCCATCAGTCCTCTACCACCACCATCGTCTATCGTCTTCCTCCACCACCTTTTTATGTTTCTTCCCCTTTTCCCCCTTCCTTTTTATTTTTTTTCTGAGAACAGGGCTGCCGTCAATGACAAATGCTGGACTAGACACCAATGCTACGTAGTTCTTCATTAAAACATTCATATTTGGTTGGTAATTTTTTCTGCCTCGAGCTTTCCTCCATGTCTGTTGTTGGTAAAGATTTTCCACTGAAGTTGAGGAAATGCCAATATCAATCATATGAAGTTAGCATGGTGTTGAAGTATTAATTAGCATTAGACTTTTGAAAATCCAAAGTGTACCAGCAAGATTGACCATAATGTGCATTGACTGGTTTTGTCTACATTTCTTTAGGATTTCTCAAACTCATATCTATGCTTTTTCTTTTCTTCACAGGTTGGATGGCCACCACGTCATCTTTGGCAATGTGCTTTCAGGGATTCATGTTGTCCGCGAGATTGAAGCTGAAGGAAGACAGAATAGGGAGCCCGTAAGTAAAGTTATATTAGAGAGTGGTGAAATGCCTTTGTGGCTATTGAATGGTGATTAATATACATCTGTTGTGTATGAAACTTTGATGTCTATGCTTTTATGTTAATGATTTTAAAAAGTATTAACTTTTATTGTGAATGGGGTTTTGTCTTGTGGCAGCTATGGCAATTGGCAGGGATGCACCCGGATTTGCAGTTTCTTTAGGTGAATTATGAGGAGCACAAATCCATGTGTTATAGTCTTAATGTTCATGTGCTGCCATTTTTCCAGTTTAACAGAGGAGCGACTATGCAACTTTAACTATTTAAGATATGTTTTTGTCTTTCAACTATCATGTGAAGACCATTAGTGAATTGGGAATGATTATTGAATGAATAATTTTATTGTTGTTAGTGATTGCCAGTTTGTTTTCATTTTTCAGATTTATTCTCATTTTGCAATACACTATGAACACAGGGATCAAACTACTTGAGAGATTAATTTTTCAGAAAATGTATTAAATTTTGAGAAGTTGAGTGTTGGTGTTTTTTGATATAAAAGAGTGAAGCAGGTTCAATTATTAAAACCTTCAGGATTTGTGACTCCTATTTTTTTATCCATGGACTCATTCCATGCACTTCTGTCAATATTCTTACATGAATTTGCATCTAGCATATCAAATATATTTCTGCATTTGTGATCGTTTACAAGTCTTAAAACACTTGTGAACTTGAGTGGAAAAGAAATTGCAAGTCATAACACACTTGCGAATTCGGTTGAATCAAAACTAGCCACTCCTCCAAGTCCTAAAACACTTGGCACATGGCATGTGGATCATAAAGGATGCAATTCGGCCCAAGCCCAAGGAAAGGAACTAGCCCAAGTTGTGCAAGGAGACAATTCAGTTCCGACCCAAGTCCATTAAAGCACCAAATCATCAAGTGAAGTACAAGTCCAAAAAAAAAAAAAAAGGCCCAAGTATTCAAGTGATCCAAGACAGCCTATTATCCAAGCCCAAAAAGTGTTTCCATGCTACTTCATTTTGGGTCTATTTCAATGAATCCTAAGGCCCAAACTCATACACTCTTATTAGTAGGATTTAATCACTTTTTTATGTTTAATTAGTCATCCTAGGTGGCATGTTTATTTTGTATGTTTCTAGTTAATTATCCTAGGTGGTGTTTTTAACACACTAATTTAGTTAATCATCCTTGTAATGCTACTATAAAAGCAAACCCTCTCTCATTTTGTAAGGTTGAACAATGAAATGAAAATTAAACACTTGAGAGGAATGATTTTCCTTTTACTTTGAAATCTTTATCCAAGTCTTGACAAGGGATTTGGTGGTTATTCAACTTCAAGTTGGTGGAGAGATCTTTTATGCTTGAAGATTCTTCTTGTCTCTTTCCTTTTTTTTATTCAAGCAAGTGTTCTTGTGTCTCATCTTATCTCGGCCGAATTTCTAGTGGCAGTTAGTGTTCAAATTTGGTTGTATGTGTTTTGTGTTGTGTTTGCATGATTTTGGAGTTGAAATACCTTAGATAGTTGAAACGTGAATGAAGGTTGTGAAGAGTCTTGCTTGGCCAATTCATGTATGTGATGTTGTGATGTTTTGTTGGGTTTTTATGGTGGTTTTCGATCATGCACTTCTGTCAATATTCTTACATGAATTTGCATCTAGCATATCAAATATCTTTTTGCATTTGTAAGAACATGCTTAGGCTAAGTACTTGATCATGATAGTTATATGCATGAATGTGCTAGAGTTAGGCTCATTATTGTTATAATCTCCTGGAAATTTGTGTGTTATTGTATGATGAGCTTGAGTACTTGCTTATATTCATACTACCAGCAGGAACGGGGATGTCTAATGGTCATACCATGTATTATGATCTTTTCTTTCTTTCTTTTTTTTTTTGGCTGCTGTCTTTGTAATCTTGAACACAAACTCTTTGTAGGCATGCTGACAAAGAATGTCTCTGAAGCTGAAGTTTCTGCTGTGTTCTCTAAATATGTCCGTCCAATAATCAAAAAGAAATTTGGCTCTGGAGAATGACACTTCAAACTTTTTAATAGGCTTCCTTGATATCAAAACTACCAATCTCCGAATTGCGGGAATACTTTAGATCGGTCTGCATTCTGTAGGATATGACAATCGTTGTCTACTGCAGAACCCGCAACTTCTTCGAGGGGCTTGGAATTTTTTTTATGATTGTGGCATTTGTCTTTAGTGCTCTTACTTCTTGTTTGATGCTTTGTACAAGCTTAAATGTAACTGATTGAACCAACAAGTGTAATATGATGATAATTGGTAAAATTCGGCATCATTCCACAATATCCAGTTGTTGTCTTTTATTTTAATTGATTGAGATAATAGTATAATATGATGCCATTGCCCTGTTATCCACATGACTCAGCATGAAACAGATAAGAGGCATAGATCTGTTGTCATTTCACCCAGTTTAAAGATACAATGATCCATACTTGCTTCTAAAATATTAGAGATGTTTGTAAGAATTGGAAATGCTTGTTTATGAACCACTAATCAATGATGACTCTCCAAATCAAAGTGTACCAAGATACGTTCCATAAATCTACAGTGTTTTCCATGTTTTTACTCTCCTTTCCTGAATTTCATAGAAATGCATAAAACACAAATAAAGTGTTTAGAGGCAAGAACTAGAAGCAATTAATTAGATCATATAACTATTCACAATACTACATTGAATCTGTAGCAATCAAAGTTACATGTAACAAATTTTACAAACTTTAACCTTCTTATCAATTATTTTAAGATTTAAATGTCTCATCTCTCGTTTTTTCACTGCTTCTTAGAGTGCAGCCTTTTGATAAGCCTTATAGATTAACATCATTCATCTTAATAGTTGAAAGCACCTAGTCCAAAGCCAAAGCCTGCAACAATCAAGATTATGAAATCAAATGAGCAAATAATTATTTAGTTTTTTCAATAATTATTTACCCCGGAGCCAACTCCTACAATCATTTTGATACATGATTTTTATATTAGAAATGAGTTTCATGGGAAACAGATAGGGTGTAAAATGAAAGAAAAGTAAAGAATCGTAAGCACCTAAAGTTGCCGCCCTTCAGCTGTTGAACACAAGCATCCAACTTCCTGTACCTCAAGTTTGCTTGATTCCTATGCAAGATACAACAACTCAACCCTGCTTTCATAGAATTCACATGTAAACATCAACTTAAATAAAGAAACAAAAATAAATTACTTACCAGAGTTGCTTGATTAAATCCAATTCTGAGACGAGGATTCGAAGTCATAGCAATTGCTTGCTTTCGCAATTTTTTCTCTTTTACTTTACGCACAATTTGTTCAACCTTCGATTGCTTTCTTTTTCATGGAGGACCATTTGCTACGAACAACCCATGGAGTAAGAATATTACTACTCCCTTCTGTAGAAGTACCAGCAACAACTTCACTATTCGTTCTATCATTGGCTGACATGTTTAGTCATTTATCAATCTTGCCAACACTTTCATTCAACATCAACTTGTTCTTCATATCATTGATCATTTCTATCACCATATTACAATCATCCTCAGTGTTTGATGTCAAATCTGCTACAGTGCTGAATAAATTAGACAACTTTTCAAATCGTTGTCTTTCAACATTGGTGCTCCAACTATTATAACTAATCTTAACCTTTGTATAGCATTTGTTTATATTCTTCCTCCATCTCCTTAAAATGTACTTTTCTAGTACACAAAAAATTTTCTTATGAATCAACACTGTAATTGCATGTCGACATAAAATTCCTCTAAACTCAAACAATCGACAATAGCAACGAACATCACAATTTGCTTCGTTAAAGCAAACCACAAAAGGAACACTACGATGAGTCTCTCCAACCATCACATCTTCTTCTACTATAAACTCCATATAGGAATCAATCTCTTTGGAAGACGATAATTCACAATAGAGCTTAGCAGCAAGCTCTTGTTAAAACTCTTTGAATTTCGCAATGGTATAGGCATCTTGAAATTGTTTCTTAATAGTATAAGTGCTTATGCAAGGGATCCATGATCTGAAAGATTTAAAATCAACCTCCATTTCTTTTTCCACTTTATCACGTAACACATTCTCATATTGTTCGACAAACTGTTTTAATGTGGTTTTTGAATTAACATATTCATCAAAGAATGCATGCATAGTTTCACTGCGTTGAGTGACAGGCTATTCGCAAGTGTACGAAATCGCGCAAGTAATAAAGCTCGAGTAAACGAGTGTCGAATCCCAAGAGAACTACCTACCAAGCACCAAACTAGTCTATTTTATTGCTATTTGACGAAATAGAATTTTATGAATGAATTTAATGAAAAAGAAAACAAATTAAAAACTAAACAAAACTAGAATTTTATAAATACTTTGGTATAAAGATCAATAAGGCTAAACCCTAGGGCACATATTTCACACCAATTTAATCCTATGTATTGACAATCATTACTAACCTAATTAAGCTTATTCTAAAGGCCAAACTGCCTAATATTCCCCTAATTTTCTCTCGAACAATTAGTGAATTAACCCTTAAACAACAATCCAAAATATCTCTAAATTGGATTTAGAAGCTAAAAGATCATTAAGTTCTATGAAATCTACCAGAGCCTCATAGATCGCGGTAATCTATCTCTAGCGTTCACTCAATCTATGGTTTTATTACCTTAGACAAATCAGGTTTCATCTCTCGATCTCAACCCAACCCAACCCATGATATCATTCAACCCTCGGATCCTGGAGAATTGAAAGCATTACACTCAATAATAACACTTAGACTCAATGCTTGATAAGAAATCAATAAAGAAACCGTCAACACATATTCATAAATCGGGCTACATCTTTAGCCCTAGAAAAGAGATTTAGCTCATAATTGTAATAATAAAAACCATCATTCTATTCAATGACATGAGTTCAAGAAAGAAAAATATAAACACTTCTCTAATCGGTGAACGAGAGCTTCAAGAATCCCGATCTCCAAACTAGTAGTCGTCCTCCTTTTTTTTTCTCCCAAAAAACTACTTAAAGACCCTTATTTATAGTAGTAGGGTTTGGAGGTTACTTAGGAAAGAATTAAATGCTTTCACCCAATTAGATTAAGACTAGGAGAATGTAATAACTTAAACAGGCACGTGACCCATCGTTGCGGCGATAGGAACCATCGTTGCGGCGATCGTTCTTTTTGTCTAATGTGTTAGGATTATTTTAGAATTAGGATAAGTTTGTTAAGTCTTTTATTATTATCTTTTATAATTATCTTCTATAATTATATTATTATCTTATTAGGATAGAATTAGGATTATCTTATTATCTCTTTATAATTAGAGTCCTTTTGGGACTTATTATCCCTTTATAATTAGAGTCCTTTTGGGAGTCAGTAGAATCAAGTGTAAGGCTATATAATAGCCTAAATCTAGATTGTGGGAATCAATAAAGAATTTTGTCAACTAATTTTTCTATCTCTTGTTCTTGGAGGTCTTTGTTCCTCATATAAATAGATCCTATCCCAAACCCTATCATTGGTGCTGTCGTT